AACTAGCGGACAACGTTATTCATAAGAGGATGTCTTCTATGGGTTCAATAAAATTTTGTGAACGTAAAGAAAATTTTATAAATTTTTTCTGTATCCGTTCTAAACACGTAATATGAGAATTGTGATAAGGTCTCCAAGTTAATGACGCATACTCCAACCTAGATCTTACTAGAGTAATATAAAGCATCTTCAAAGTGTAAGATTTGCCAACTATGTAGTCGATATGAGTGGAAAATCTTAGCTTCGTATCGAAATAGACACCTAAACCCTGGACTTCATTGACATGATTGAGAAAAGATCCAGAAATATGATAGCGCGTGGGGAGTGGAATTAACTTTCCTCCTATAATTTTTTTTTCAAAAACATTAATTTTTCCACAACTTCACAAAAGTTGACATAAAACTATTCGTCCATTTAAATAATTAACTTATTACTGCACATGTTTTTTCCCGAGGAGGAAGTATCGAAAGCCTGACCCCGTTAAAGTGAGACTTTAACTCAAACTAAATCTCCTACCGTTATGTACCGTTCCCCTCCTGGTACCACCGTCAAGCATTTCGTGGGGATAATAACACTGTGTGACTACTAAAGTTATAGATCTAATTAATAATAAAAAATACACCCCCTCAAAATATGGACTTTCATAGGTTGAGCCTTATAATTGTTCTAAACTTAATTTCTGTTTATCCGATCAAAAATATTTACAGTGCGTACACGGTAAGCTCAACTTTTAATACGTGCAATTCCTTGATTAAAGTAAATCTTTAAAACAAAACATTGTAACCTTTATAAGTGCAACTTCAAAACAATTCAACCTCAATACCTACAACTTTCTTTGTTTATGCATGCCACACTTACCAGTATTCTGGAAAAACTAAGAAGTGGTATTTCAGTTAAAGTAATGTGTGATGAGTTTAAAACAAACAATTCAACTGTTATCAGAATTAGTCAAAATGAGAGCAAGAGTAAAGATAAAACATATAGAAGCCGGATGTGGGAAACCGCAAACTTTAAAACAGTGCGACGACCCAAAAATATACAAAAATGGTTTTGTTTTGAGAGAAAGTACAATGTTCCCATGTCCGTCCAATTTGTAAAAGCTAAAGTCAGCAAGTTACATAAAAATCACCAACTGAATCTTTTTCCAGACAAGACATACATCGCTGATGGATCTGGTCTAATCCTCGCTTGAGCAAATGTATCTAAGACGCACAAAGTTCTTCTTCTTCTTATTTGGCGCTATAACCGTCTAAGCGATTTTGGCCGAGTCCAAAGCAGAACGTCAGTCGTTTCACTTCAGTTACAACTGCCGCAGTAAATGAGGTGAAGCCAAGTACTTCTCCACTTGGTGCTTCCATCGCGGTGGGAGCCTTCATATTCCACTATCGCGACCCGCATTGAATACTTTCAGAGCTGGAGCGTTTCTGTCCATTCGTACGACATGACCACTATTTCCATGCCGTTGTAAAGCTCACAGAGCTCACGTTCCATCGTCTACGGTACTTTCCGTCGCCAATGCGTAACGGCGCATAAACCTTACGCAGAATATTTCTCTCGAAAATTCCAAGAGTCGCTTCATCAGATAATTTCATTGCAATTGACGCTTATGCTTGACGTTTTGTCTTCGTTCACATCAGACCCACACGCTTTGCTTCTCTGTCTAATTCCGAAAAGGCAGAACAGACGTAGTCCTTATTTCCACCAATAATGTCGATATCGTCGGCATACGCCAGCAATTGTACGCTATTTTAAGTATTTTACCTGAGCGGTTCAGTTATGTGACTCTTATTATCTTCTCTAACATCAGATTAAAGATATCACACGAAAGGGAGTCATATTGTTTGGTATCACACAGCTAGGAGATACCCTTCTCAATTCTGACAAAGCTTGCATTGCTCAGCGTCATCTTACACACCCGTATTAGTTTCGCGGGGATACGAAATTCAGACACCACGAAATGAAGACAACTGATTTTCCTGCTGACGAAAGCGGCTTTGAAATCGACAAATAGAAGATATGTGTCGATCCTAGTCCCACGGGTCTGTTCCAAGTTTCAGTTCGTTGATGGCGGGCTTCAATATTTCACACAAAACGCGCGATAAAATAGTTGGCGCGCATGACGAAGTCGCCTTTCTTGTGGATTGGGCAGAGAACGCTGGAATTCCAGTAGTTGGACATGACCTTATCAGCTCTTCACCATCGTACATGAATAGCTTGGCTGGTAGGCCACGAGCTCCAGTAACTTTGTTATTTTTCATCAGCGTAATCGCTATTCGTACCTCGTTATAGTCAGGCGCTGGGACATGGACTCCATCGTCATCGACTGGGGGCTCGGGTTCGTCTTCTTCACTACTTTCAGTGCTGCTGCCATTCAAAGGGTCGAAAAGTATTCCCTCGAACTCGATCAGCCGCAGCCCGTTATCGGACGTTTCGTCATGGAGGATGAATTTTCCGATAGTGGCACCAATGATCCCTTCCTTGCCTACCCTGGCCTTGAAGTCGCCAGGCACGAGCTTTATATCGTGACGAAGGCAGCGCTCGTATGTTATCTCCAAGCGCTCATAAAAGATATTCTTGTATGCCTCGTCCTTCTCTTCCATCGGGGCATCGGAACATCTGAGCGAGATGTTGAAGAATCGCACTTTGATGCGGATTGTGGCTAGACTGTCGTCCACTAGAGTGGACACCAGTACTCGGCGACGGAGTCTGTCTCCCACCACAAATCCAAGATCGAATATGCCATCATTTACGTGGCATATGGAGTAGGCGTCGAAAGGCTCCACGTTTACCTTGCCTTTCCCCGTCCATCGCATTTCATGGATGGCGGTGATGTAAGCCTTTATTTTCCTGAGGACATCAACCAGCCGGGCAGAGGCACCTTCCCGACTAAAGCTCCGGATATTCCAGGTGAGTACCCTCAAATAATAGTCCTTTCTAGGGCTGCGACATCGACATTGATGTTTGTAAAACATCGATGTTTTGAGACAACATCGAGTGTTTTGAACATCGATTTTTCCTACCCGATGTTTTATCGACATCGATTTTTTGCTTCGATGTTTTTCTTCGATGTTCGGCTTATTTGCAACCAACTTCTAGCAATTGACCAACTGGTTCGCCGATAAATCAATGCGTATGTAGGGCCTTTAAAGTTGCCATACTTAGTTTTGGACAAAAACAATCGATTAATTTAATCAAATGATTAATCGCTGGCATCCCTAGATGGCCGCCACCTTTGTTCTCTACATCGTGATCTCAAGGCATATTGCAGAAGTTTTTATTGTCGCTGTATTCTCTAGTTTCAGGTTGGGCTGCTTTTGGAATTCGATACAATGAGCAAGCAATAAATACTTCTTTGTTTCCAGTTTTGATTCATAATAGCGGAATGGCGCCTAAAAGTAGGGTATGGAAGTTTTTCGCGAAAGACAATAAAAAACCTAATGAATTGGCTGTGTGTGTTGTTTGTAACAAACACCTAAAAACATGTGGTAATGCAAGCAATCTCATAGGCAGAGGTGGACACTACCAGAAACAAGCGTGAGCTAAAAGTGAGAATGTGTTAGTGTGCCTAATTCATTTTGCATGCTGTCGTGTTCTCATCGTTGGGCTCTCGATTGTATACGTACACTCGACGCTTACGCTCTTTTAGCACCTGCTAACTCTCTGCCCATGCCTGCTCATAGGTCACATTAAAGCTATGCACAATGATATTTTCGTAACCCATCTAACATCTTCCGAAAAAGTGCTTAATAAGACCGACGGCACTGAAGTGAATAAAAATGCAAGTCTCGTTCCCGCATCTTCAGAACCTTGCCCAAGTTCCAGCTCATCACACCAAGTATCTGCGCTATCATCAGGGGGTCAGCAGATTTTACAAACGTCTTTCGCAAATATAAGCTCTTTCAAGGACGGCTGTTATAAAAGTAACAAAATAACAGCGGCTATCTTGTTCATGCTATGCCGGGACAATCAGCCCATTACTATCGTGGAAGACGAAGGGTTTTGTCATTTATTAAAAATAGTATCGCCATTGTATTAAATACCTTCAAGGAAAACGTTCGATACTCTCCTGGAGAAAAAGTACGATTTCATTTCGAATTTGGTTAAGCAGGAATTGTCGACGGTACCCTTCATATGTTTAACCATTGATGTGTGAACCGAAACACACCAAACGAAAGCATTTCTTGGAGTTACTGCGCATTTTATTTCATCTTGTGGAAATAAAAAAAAAAAAACGTTTAAATTGGAAAGCATTGTACTTGGCGTGAAAGAACTGACAGTAAGTCACACTGGGGAAAATCTTTCTGAGGTGTTATCAAACGTTTGTACTGAGTGGAACATAAGTATAAGGTCGTAGCAGTTGTAACCGATGGAGGAAGCAATATGATCAAAGCAGTAGAATTAGCGTTCGAAAAAAGAAAGCACTGCTATTGCTTCGCGCATTTATTGAATCTGCTAGCTCAAAAGTCCATTGACTCTCTTCCTGAGCTAAAAATTGTTTTGGATCAGGTAAAGTCCATTGTGACTTGGTTTAGACCTAGCGTTGTGGGAAGTGACGAACTAAGTAAAAAAACTCAGCTATTAGAAAAAAATACTTTAATTCAGTCAGATTCAACGCGTTGGAATAGCACATATTACATGGTAGAAAGGTTCTTATTTCCCCAAGAAATTGTTAATAATATAATCACGTTCAACATCAGTGCACCACAAATGGTGTCAGCTCTCGACATGGAAGTTTTGAAGGATTTTGTAGTTATGTTCAAACCAATTGAATTTGCAACAAAAGAAGTTTGTGGTGACAAGTTTGTTACATCTAGCATCGTTATACCAGTGGTTCGCTTGTTGCGAACAAAGGTCATGGGAGCTACAACCAATACGAATTTGGGAACTACATTGAAGGGCAACATCATGATAGAATGGAACAAGCGGTTCAAAAACATCGAGCATCATTGTTAGTTTGCGATAACTACGATACTTGATCCGAGGTTTAAAAACATCCATTTCGATGACAGTGTGGCAGTGGGGATGGCAATCCGGAAGTTGACTTCTGAAATGAAGGAGGAAGCAAATGCTGAACAAGTCAACGAAGATGATGAAAGTGGTAGGTATTTATTTCTATCTAATGAACCATGATGAATAAGTGCCTAATGCGGACATAAAACTTTGCCAGTAATTTGTATGCCATTTTTGAAATAACGAGTAAAATGCATATTTTAACTAAATGTTGACGTATATTTTGTTTTCAGGTGATGGCTTTAGTCTATGCGACGACCACCACAGGCTCGGAAATCAAAAAACGGATAAGGACTCTAGATGAACTAGGCACATTAAATACGATGCCACCGGAATTACCAATTTATTTGAAGAGCCCAGTCGTTAAGCTAACGGATTGTCCCCTGCATGTGTGGGCAGAAGGATACCACAAAAACTCTTTGTTGAAAATAGCAATGAAATGCTTAATAGTGATGGCAACTTCCGTGCCGCCAGAACGTGTTTTTTCCATCGCGGGAAATATTGTTACCTGTAAAAGAAGTTGCTTGTTGTCGGGAGAAAAAGTGGACAAACTGCTTTTTTTTACAAACTGTTAATAGTAAGTTTTGGGCCTTAGAGTGATATTAATGTTATTCAGTATTGTTATTATACGACAATTATGGTATATTCACCACTATTTGATTTTTGCATCAGCCATTTACTTTTCGCAAAAGTGTCTAATTTTTTTGTAATTCATTGAATTAATTGACTTATGTTTTGTTGAGTTTTTGTTATTCTGCGAAATAAAAATGCACGCTTTAAAAGAATATACTGGGCATTATGCGTAAAAAGTTGTTTGCATAAATAGTCGAGTTTAAGCTCACATCATCAGTACAATACCTGAACCTGTGCCCAAGCTGACTTTTTATGTATGAGGTTATATTATGTGATAGGTATAATGCAGACAACTTTACTCATTTATTACAAATTTTCATTAAAAAAAGTGATTAAAACATCGATTTTTTTTAACATCGATGTTTTTTACCCGATGTTTTACCAACGTCGATATAGACCCCAACCAAACATCGGTACTTGAAACATCGATGTTATGTGGTCGATGTCGCGGCCCTAGTCCCTTCTACGTTTGCCGTGATCGTTATCAAAAAAGGGGTATTATTCGAGGCATGTTTTTTTTTCATTGGGCAGGGTTTTAACGTGGCGGTACCCAAACCCACAATGTATACATCGTTGCAATCACCGAAATGTCTTCTCTTAAATGACATACTTATGTATGTATAAATATAAAGGCGTATTCAAAATTTTGAGTATGCAGATTACTTGTTGGTATATTGCAAAATAAATAAAAAATATCATTAACGACCGTTAACGTGTCTATTTTAAGTATAGTTTAATCATTAGTTAAACTCAACAACAGAAAATTCTGTGTAATTTTTTTAGTTAAGTTTAACTAGTGATTTAACTATAATTTAAAATAGATATGCTAACATGCCTTAATATGCTATTTTTAACCGACTTCCAAATCATCAGTTCATCGGAATATTTTTGTTTTGTTTTATTTTATGTATGTTACCGCACAACTTTGGACCACGTCAACCGATTTCGATAATTCTTTTCGCATCGGAAAGGTAGTATCAGGTGGTCCCATACCAATCTGGTTTAGATCCGATCATTGGATCAAGAAATATATATATATATATATATATATATATATCTATACTGTTATATGAGAATTGAATTCGGTTTGGTTTTTTGCTTAAAAATTACTTGTTTATATAACGTATGCAGCGGAGGCAACAAATATTGTTTTTCCACTCACATAGATATTGACGAAACTTCCAAAAAAAAATTTATAGGAAAGACTCATGTCCATAACGATTGGTCTGTTTAAGTTTTCAGGTATAGTGCGTAGGGTTTTTTTTTACCCGAGCGCACTTGTGCACAAGTGTATTATAACTTTGTTCACATAACGGTTGTTTGTAACAGGCAAACGAATCAAGATAGATATAGACAAATGTACACATAAATGATAAGAATGAAAAGAGAAATCGATTAAGCGGTGACTGTCTGTCCGTCCGTCCGTTCGTCCGTCTGTGCACACGATAACTCGAGTAAAAATTTAGATATTTAACGAAACTTGGTACGTTTACTTTATTTCGGGCGTAAGACGGATGGTATTGAAAATGGGCAAAATCCGACAATAACCACGCCTACCTCCCATATAACGGCAGTTTTCAGAAATACGAAAACTGCGACATTTTAGCAACTAGTGAAGATTATTCACTCAAAGTTGATATTTACAATAATTTTCAGACGAAAAATAAGAATATTATAAATTTTTGGAAAACGGGCGTAGCCACGCACACTTATGATTACATGTGTATATCTTGGTAACCGCTCCACCAATTTCTCGGACAATAACCACGCCCACATCCCATATAACGGTAATGTACGAAATCTTCGATAAATTAGTAAATACAGGGGCTAATTTATTCATTTATTCAAAATTTATGTTTGCAATAATTCTTTAGCAAAAAATACGTGATACCGCCCAAATATGACTATATAAGTTTATCTCATTTAGTTCTCTCTCTCACAGTTCTATATTATCTACTGTGTTAATTTTGCCACCTGGTAACTTTAAAACATTTTACCATGTGGTAACTTTGTTTGTTGTTGGTTCCCATACTAATTAGAGATAACACTTTTGGGCAAAATTACTAGACTTTGTCTCATGTTTATGTTCTGTGTTAAACTGGCATCTATCGCTGCTTGTACATACATACATGAATTTCGCTTTGGGCGCAGCGCTGCTTGTACATAAGTTTCTCTTTGCGCCTGCCTGGAGCTGGCAAAGGTTATTTTTATTTTTATTTTTGCGCTGTGCTAGCTGAGTATAAAAAAGAGAAGAGAGAATAGAGAGAAATATGTATGTGGTTTGTTGATGCTCTCTAAACACAAACGCGTGAAAGGCAAACGGTCTAGCAATGCGTGGTATTGTTGATCAACTTAATACTTTATTTAAACGTAAGGGTTGCTCACAGTTCGAGTGTGTTATCTTGTTAAAGTTACCACCTTTTAACTTTAGAAGTAAACTGTGAATACCCTAATTATTTATATCTGAACGTTCTATCGAAGATGTTTAAAATAGGGATAAAACCACCCCTGCTTACCATGTAGCGGTAGTTTTCGGAAAGGTGAAAAACATATAATACTTGCACCGTGTATTTAATGATCGGCTCCGCCCGAACTTAAACTTCCTTACTTGTTTAAATATTATATTGGGACATTATTCTGCCAATTTGAGTTATTATTTTTTAACCATTAAAGACGGTAAACAGCTCAGAGTTATATTTATTTGTCCTTTTATGACTCCCTAATGAAAAATATTTCCCTAATCCGTTGTTCAAAACTGAAATGAATGTGGAGCAAGAAAATTTTGGGAAAGCACTCATAGCCGTTTTTAATTTTCCTTTTCAACTTTTAAAAAATTTTGGGTAAAATGGTTTGCACATATTTCGCTACATCCCTGGCTCTTGCATTTTCTCCAATGTTTATTTTGCACTTTGTTGTCATGATACCTTGTGATTTTGCAGGGAGATCAAGCAATTGATTATTCTTGTTACGGTCTCATTTCGCTGCTATGTGAAACATGTTCTTTCGCACTCGTGGGTTTTCCTTCTACTGTTGTTCTATTCTATAAAGTAGAGCTGTCAAACTATCGACGATACTATCGATAGTATCGATAGTCTGGTCACTTAACATAGCTATCGATCGCCACTATCGTTTCATTGATAGCGTATTCTTTTTCCACGCGCTTTTAATATTTGCACGAATTGGATCAAAGGGGACAAAAATTGGCAGCATTATTTCATGAACGAACGAATAAAGATTACCCAGGACGTACAGTGTATTATTTCCATATTCTAGAAAATATTTATTACATTATTTTATGTCGCCAAATTTCAAAACAACGTCAAAAATGTTTTTAGAATTGCCTAATAAAGGCAAAACAATAACAACTAAAAAATGTAAGTCAAAGTGTAGGGCGGGACGGGGTTTGATTTGGAAAATTACCAAGGGCAATAATATTTAAACTTGTACATTTGAAACTGAATCTCAATCTTTAATTTGTCGGGGTTATGTGATTTATGCAACAATTGCCAAAATACCATTTTGGTCTTAAATTTTTGAGTATGTTCTTTTAATGAATATACATTTTTGGGATTTTAGTAAACTTGCACACACGCGACATCACAAAGCTTCGACTCGTAGGTTTTAATTGCATTGTGATTAGCACTCCCCTAGTAAACGGGGCCTCCCCGTGGTGACACCTGGTAAGGCCCTGGCGGCTAATTCGAGCGGCGATCCCTCCTAAATCCCTAAACCTATGCTTCCCTTTCTGACCAAATTCCTTGCCAGTTCTTCCCTCCCTACTCTTTTCAGGGCCAGATCAAGGTATCATACGACCCGTGCCGAGGATCAGCCTGGCTGGGGGCCCTTCATCAAGTCCAGTCGCGAACGGAGTGCTTCGGGTCTCCGCTTCTCGTGGGACAAAATATGGATAAAACTAAAACTACTACAACAACAACACGAACATCAAATATACAAACCTCAACTCCAGTACGGGAGTTCGGCGCTCCGAAACAAAGACCGAAAGGAGTCACAAACTCCGCACCCAGCAAAGCCACGGGCCTAGCCAAAAGTAGCTCTATGCCGAAGCAGACATCAGGTGTATCTGCACCCACCAGCAGTAGGAGTAAAGCACTTCCCGGGCCGAGAAGTCCAAAGGCCAATGCTACGCACAGAAGTAGCACTGGATGGAAAGCCTGCACGGCAAACACCGGAAATCCTGGGTTTTCCTGTAGTGTAGCTTGTCACTCAGCGAACAGCGTATGGGTACCTGTTACGCCGTCCCAACCTGCAGATATTTTAGAAATGCTGCAGGAATTTAATCCCAGCTTCTCTACACACAACTGGAGGGTTGTTAACACGGAGCCAACTGAGCGAGCAACGATGCAGGTAGTCCTGCTCCTAAACGACGATGTCTGGAAGCACTCGCACAAAGCGACTATGGGGTGAGCTATGGCTTTGGAAAAACAACGCTAAAAGTTTACAAAACTGACACCGAAGTAAACCTAGTAAACCTTGCAGCCTGTGTGGAGACGGACGAGCCATCCAGCGACCACGAGATGGAAGTCGACGACCAAGCAACCGAAGAGCTGAGCGGTTACGCCTCATCAAGATCCGAAGTAGGTGAAGCCTTACGGAGGCTGTATACAGAGCGTGAGCTTCTCAGCGACGACGAAGCCAACGTGGTGGTGGTAGAGAGGAGAGACTCGCGTGATGAAAAATTACAGTAAAGCAGCATCTGCTGCGCTCCTGCTTCAACTGTCTTCAGGTGAAGTAGGCATCGCTTTGGTCCAAGAGCCATGGATCACTGGTAATAGGATCTGTGGCTTGTGGACTCCGAAGTACAAGCTATTCAGTGTTCAGGGTAAGAGAAAACCCCGCACCTGCATTTTAGTCAAAACTAATATAAACTCTTTTATCCTACCACAATTCAGCACTGCTGACATAACCACGGTCAGCCTAGAAATAGGGCC